GCATAAATAGGACTGGCTGTAATTTTAAGGGGCTTTAGTACAAATGTCCTCTGGTGGACTCTGATGAGCGTACCTGACTGTGGTGGCAATGCTCACATACTGAACTGGGCAACCTTTTAATTTCTCACTATGCCCCACAGTGAAACTAGGTCAGCAGCATTTTGGGAAATTAAAAGGGCAGTGAGTTCCAGCTGTGTGGTACTTCTTGTGAGACCCCATATTTTAAAGACCGTCTAGGCTGTAAGTCCTGGAAGACCTGCTCTCTGCCTTGCAGGCCTTTTCCCACCTGGCCTGGGAGGGAGGGGCCTTGATTGATTCCAGCTGCAAAAGCTGAGGCTGCTGAAGAGGCCAGAGGCCATCTTGGCTGTCTCTTAGTGCAGACCCAGGCCATGGAGCCTGAGCTTCCACAGCCACCGCCCACCATTGGCAGCAACAGCAGCAGATACGTTCAATGCTTAATATTTTATTCTCTTACTGATAATGCTGTTTTAAATGTGTATTTATATATGACTTCCTTTAGCGATGTTTTCTTCTGAAATGTTTAAGATAATCTTTTTTGTTAACTTTGCTGCATTCGATGTGCATTCAGTAGTTGAAATCTTTAAGATAATAGGAAACTAAAATATGTAGCTTTGAATGTATAATTTGCATTTGACTTTCTTCAGTAATGCTTTATTCTGGATTGTTTTATTTGATGTTTTGATATAGGTTGTAAACTGTTTTGAGTCCCCTCCCCCTAAAAAATATAAAGCTGTATAGAAAGGAAATTAATAGTAGTAGTAGTAGTAGTAGTAGTAGTAGTAGTAGTAATAGAGTGTGGAGGTTAGGGCAGGTATCAGCAGTGCCCCCTGGCAGGGCATAGTGGCCCTAGCAGACGCCCAGTGATATGAGGTGGCTGACTCCAATGATGAACTGAAAGAAAAGGAGCCTTTCAGGTCGACAAATGCCCTTGCTGATCTCTGGAATAGTACACTAGTCGGTCAGATGCAGCTGACAATGGATTCCTCATTGCTTGTTTTGGAATCGGGACAGAGTTGTGTGTCAAAAAGCCAGCCTGCTCTTGATTTTTCACAACACTGACAACAATTCCCTCATGGGTGACTCATTGGTTTCATCAACATCAGGCGGAAAGGCATGGATTCCTCCGGGCTAGCTTAGGGGGTGATAGGGGCCATTGCATTTTGGTCCTCGCTATCATTCTGAAGTGTTCCTGCTGGAACTGAAAGGAGCATTTCTGCAAATATTCAAAATTTGCTAGCATTTCAGATTTTGGCTTTCCAGTTTGCATCTGAAATGTAAATGTTGACTTTGAAATGCAAGTGCTTTATTATGTGTTTATCACATTTATGACCTGCCCTTTCCCCAAGGAGCTCAGGGACTTCATGCCCTGTTTGTCCTTACTCAGGAAGCATCTTACTGGCCACCTTATAATACCAGTCTGCTAGATGAAGATACTTTGGTCTGGTCTCTTCTTCAAGGCTTTTCTTACTGCCTTAGGGCAGTATCCAATTATATCCTTACAACAACCCAATGAGGTGAGTTAGGCTGACAGGTGCAGTGATTGGCTCAATGGTCACCCAGTGAGCTTCAGGGCTGACTGGAGATTTAAATGCAGGTTTTCCCCCTTGCCCAAATCCATTACTCTAACTACTTCACAATACTGTAATCATTTAATGGGGTTTCAATGACTAAATTCCATCAACTGAAATACTGCTAAATGCACACCTGTCAAATATAGGGAGATAATAAATAACACTGTATCCAAATGCCCTAAATTACAATTTTAGGTCTACGAGTGCTTCTATGGCTGAATGCAACAATGGGGTGTGGCACATCATTTGGGAGTCAGAACCAATCAAAACAATACCAAACAAAAGTACAACCAAGAGAGACTCAACCATGAGATACACTGATCCAGGCTTCCATACACATATTCCTAGCAGGATGAGGATCCTTATGCACAAATTCAGTGACTCTTTCCAGTCCAGTGTTATTGAACCTGTCTGTAGTATGGGAGGGGGGAAACAGAAGGCTGTCGTCCCAAACCTCCTAATCAGCATAGTGGCACAATTACTGGATGTTTCAGGGTGGTAGCGGGGCTCTCTATACACAAAGTCGAAGCTTTTGTGCATATGCATAGACAGATCAGGTCCCATATCTATCGTTGTAAACAAAACCCTTAAGGTTACTGTAAAGGAAAGATGCTTCCTCCCACTTACTTCCCATTTTGCTAATGCTGATAAATCTGAAAATCCACCAAGGAAGGTAAAGGGGGTCCTTGGCCTGAGCTTCCATCCCCATGTCAGCCTTTTCTTTAACCGCAAGCTGTGCAGAGCTCCACCTAACTAGTTCATTAGTGAACCCAGACCAAACAATATATAATAAGAACATAAGGCAACTCCTGCAGGATGGGACCCAAAGGCCTCTCCGACATACCGCACCTCCTGTTCCTTTAATGACCATGTGCCCTGCCATTCCTATAGCGTTTGTGTCAAGAAATAACTATGTCCTGGTGGTTCTCTCCATTTCACCAGATTTCCATTATGCCACTATTCCTATGTTCCCCTTTAACACGAAACACCCCAGCTCCCTCATCTCATATTGGAGGCTCCTATCATTACCATATACTGTAAAAGCGGTTACTTCTGCAGATGTTTGCAATGAGCATTTCCCTCTGCAGATCCTTGGCCGGCTATTAAGCCCTACTATGCACTCATTGGGACGCGGGTGGCACTGTGGGTTAAACCACAGAGCCTAGGACTTGCCAATCAGAAGATCGGCGGTTCGATTCCCCTTGAAGGGGTGAGCTCCCGTTGCTCGGTCCCTGCTCCTGCCAACCTAGCAGTTCCAAAGCACATCAAAGTGTAAGTAGATAAATAGGTACCGCTCTGGCGGGAAGGCGTTTCTGTGCGCTGCTCTGGTTCACCAGAAGCGGCTTAGTCATGCTGGCCACATGACCTGGAAGCTGTCTGCGGACAAATGCCGGCTCCCTCGGCCTATAGAGTGAGATGAGCGCACAATCCCAGAGTCGGTCACGACTGGACATAATGGTCAGGGGTACCTTTACCTTTATGCACTCATTGCCTAGTTCTGCCCTGTTCCCCATCTGAATGTTCCCCATCACCTCCTGCTCACACCAACTTTTCCCCAGGGGTCAGTTTAAAAGCTCCCTCTGCAACATTTTTATATTTGTTCTGCGATAAGAGGTCAGAGAATTTTACTAGTTTGCAAGCAGGAATGGGAGAGAACTTTGGTTCGGTTCACATATTAATGCAAACCTACCTGATTTACACTTCCTTAAACAACATTCAAATGGAAACACAGCAATCCTTCAGATTTTGTGATGCAGTTCTCCAACTTAAAAAAAATGCATATTATAGGAAAGTGTGCATAAAAATGAATACATTGGTGTGAACAGCATACAGAAATGCATCATCTTAGGAGGAAATGTGTGCAATGTTTATTAGGAGTGAGGTGCACTAAAATGGATTTTTTTTATTTAAAAAATTGTAAACTGATGTGGAAATTTGGTGAACTGAAGTTAATGCTAGAAATTGAGAAAGCAAGTGAAACCGAAAGTGATATATTCGTCCATCCCTATTCACAAGAGATCCTTTCTGATTGTTGTCTATGACAACATAGGCAAAGCTCACCTATATGAAGGGTTAACCCTTTAAATGGGGCATCATAATGCAGCTGCACCTCCCCTCCCCATCTACGACTGGTGAGTTTTCGTGACACACATGCCTTTGCTCATTTGCTTCTTTTTTTTTTAACTAAAAAAACTAGGAATTTCCTAACTTGTGGTCATTTCAGAAAAAGGAGAAGTTCCCACTCCAAAGAGAGAAACAGACACAGAGAACGCACAACTGAAAAAAGCTTAGCAGTATTTTCTGCCTCATCTCTCTCTCTTTCTCCTAAAGAAGATCCACTGGACCAAAGCCCTGGCACGATTCTAATACCACAGCACACCTGTCCTGTGCAGGATGGGCACGTTTATTCCAGGGCCAGTGGGCCCAGCCATCCTGATGCTCTTGGTAGCAGCTGATATCTGGCATGGTAGGTTTGTTTTTTGTCTATTGCATGGACACCAGGGTAGCTTTGGGCGGCTCACGAATGGTCTAGAAAACCAATCATGTCGCATAGTATAAGGGAGCTTCTTATATCAGTACACATTAGAAACATCTCTGAATTATTGCAATAACAGTAATCTTATCTGTTGAAACTGCATGATTTTGTCAAAGTTCGTTCTTTTTCCACCGTTACTTGGGATTTGGTCGCCAGTTCATATTTGTGTCATATTTCAGAAGTTGTTTTTAAGATTGGCTTCACTTTTCCATAGTTAGGTCATATCAGCCTTTTGTCCACAAACTAAATACTCAGGTGTGATGTTTATTCCCCCCCACACACCCTGTACGATGGTTCTAAAAAGTGGCTCTAGAATTTCTCACAGTTTGAATGGTAGGCATACTGTGGAGATTACATAAATTGACTCAGTGTACGTTCTCGGAGAGGATGAAGTCCATCAATGTTGCATTATTTCTGATTTTATTTAATATATTCATGTACTGTTTCATACATAAGACAGTCTCTAAGCAGTTTAAGATGGTCTCTAAGATCAGAGACTAGGTTTACGCTCAAGAAAGAGAACTGAATTTGATACTTCCCATCTGCTAGTGACCAGAGGTTTTCTTTGTCAGACGTCTAATCATGTTTGTTCTTATTTGTTGTTTTTTAAATAGCTAACCACTGGACTAGGGCCAGAGTCAATTCATTATATCTTCATGTGTTTTTAAATTAATAAATTAGAGAGGATCTTGGAAGGTGCCCAGTGGTTAAGGCATGGGATGTCTACTCAGTCCCATGTTTTCCCAAACCCTACCATTCAAAGTACTGCAGCTCTTTGCAGCTCAGGACCTCAGTACTTCAAGGACAGCCCCAGGGAGAGATTCAGGTAGGTAGCCGTGTTGGTCTGACGTAGTCGAAATAAATTTAAAAATTGTCCAGTAGCACCTTAGAGACCAACTAAGTTTGTTCTGGGTAGCTGAAGAAGTATGCATGCACAAGAAAGCCTATACCAAGAACAAACTTAGTTGGTCTCTAAGGTGCTACTGAACAATTTTTAAATTTTTTAATTTATTTAGCGTCAGGGAGAGTGAACCAACCTGGACCCTGCATTCATCGTCTGAGGTCCTTCACCATGTGTCTTCTTTGAGGGAGGTGTATAGGGTGACAACATGAGAACAGGCCTTCTGGGATTCTCTCCCCAGGGAAGCATGCCTGGCACAATCATGGTCAGTTTTTGAGCATTTATCCAGTCCTGAGGTTCCTAAATTGGGGTCGGGGTGGAGGTAGCTAGTTGCTGTATGTCTGTGGCCTCCTTCTTGTGCTCATCCTTTTAAGAGGGGCGTGGGTAGGATTTGCGTGCTCTCTCTCTCTATATATATGTATGGATAAGCACCTGAAGTCCTGTGTTATTGCTGCTTTTATATTTGGCTTTAATTTTGTTTTGTTTCGTTGGTTTAATGTTTTTATCATGTAAGTCACTTGCAGACACTTCGCTGTAAAAAGCAACTAATACATTTAATAATAGTGAATAACCGCAACAGATTTTTTTTCTGCTTAACTGACTTATTTCCCTTCAACTTTCTATGAATATCACTCTTCCATCTTGTTCCTATTTCCATCCCTTCCACATGCACACTTAAAAAATAATAATAACAATTTCTAAATTTTTGCTTCCACCAAAGAAAGAAAGCTTCCGGTCATGGAATTCTGCATATTTATTGTTCGTGAATACATAGTGCACATCAATAATGCACACAATTGTAGATGCCCTCAAAAGGCAGGCACAATCAAAGGTTTGCTGCAAAAGAGAGTAGCATTCATATGCCACCTTTAGGGTGCAACCTATCCAAGTTGGCTCCTAATACTGTAGCAGCAGCAACAAAAAAGCTAAGAACAATGTGGGCAGCAATATAACCAAATCATTACTGTATAAGCTGGAAAACTTTTTGGTTAAGGTAGAAAATGCAACTGCAAACAGCAGGGTGCAAGAGTTATATGCCTGGTTGAAATGGCTTCACTGGAAGAGAGGGTGGGGGTGGAAATGGGCCGGCAGGACAGTAACTGAAGGTCACTTATGCAATGTGGTAATGTGGTAAAGTGATAGCCAGAAGTTACTGACAGTATAAAGGAAGTAGGGGAGGAACAGGGTCAGTGACGTTTTCTGAAAGTTCATGAGAAAATTCATTCTCATCAGCTTAAGAAATGGCAGCAAATATATTTATCCGTATTTTGAATAAACTGCAGAAACTGACTATACATTCTCATTGGTGTCCTACTACTACTACTACTTATAATAACAACTCTAAATCCATGACTGAATGACACCAGTATAGCTGAATATCACAAGTTGTGTGCATATACACTAATAGTTAATACAGTTGGTCTACAAAGTATACCTTAAGCTTGTAAGAAGAGTTAACTACATAAATACCCCAAAGTCAGCTTCTGCCCCTATCCCAATTCTGAGTAGGCAAGGGATGTAATATCCTCTGTATGCTTTTGATGTGTCCCGCTTTTAAGCAGGAGAGATCAGTGGGACTATGAAGACATTCACTTCCTCCCCAACCCCACCCTGCTGGCCAGTTTTGAGGTTAGCAAGGTGGCTCCCTTTCAGGACCCTTCACACCTGGTGTTTCCAAGCCCCGCTTTAATATCCTTTGGCATCAGAGACAGGAAAGGGTAGCAAAAGATATCTGTGTGCTCTCCTTTTCTCAGGGAGCATGGGCAAAGATGTTTCCATCTTCTCTAATGCTGTTCCCTCCTTGGGAACATATGTGCACTCAGCCCAAGAAGACTGGTGTGTGTAAACTCTCCCTGCCTCACCCACGCCTCTGAATTCTGAGCACCAGTGCTTTTTTCAGGGGTACTCAAGCATACACAGTATTGGCACCTTTTGTTGTTGTTAAAAAGTGTGGCACTTAGTGTAACAACTTCATGGTGAGTACCAGCACCTATTTTTCTAGGGGAAAAGCACTGCTGAGAGCTAATATATAGCCAGCTCGTAGCTGGACCAAGGATGTTTTATTTCCATCTGGAACCAAAGGCCAATTCATATATAAACCATTTGACGGATGGAGGGATATCTGAAGAGTCTGGACCAGATGACAATAAATCATAGTGCTCCTCCACTTAACAATGACTGAGTCACTTGTATCTCACATAGTCACTCTCTATCCCATACCAACTAAAGACAATCATAAATTTAAAATTACGCTGTTTCTGGCTATGGTCATGAGAACAGGTGTTCCACAGTTAAGGAGCAGAGGCAATTCCCAGTTAGGGAGGGGGAGAGACTGTCCACCTTCTACTCCTGCCCCCAGCAAAGCATTCACACATCCAATAGGCAGTACCTGCAAGCCACCCAACATTTTGATGTTCCTGCAATCTCTGATGTAGCATCACTCCACAGTGGAAATGTAAAACTGGCAGGTGTGCTGGTGCCAGGTGTGCAAGAGCCTCCAACTCAATCCCCAATGCCGGTGGGTCACTTCTTGGGTGCTGAGCATTGGGCAGATGTCTGCACAATGATGGCAGGCACTGCTACCATCCCTGGTTGAGGGCAAGGCACCAAGAATCCCTCTCTGTGCAGTCCTGATTTGCTGCATAGATGGTAAGCTTAATGACTGCATTCTCAATCAGTCATCAAGGTTTTAATGTAACATGAAGTGGAGGAAATTATTAGGATTTACTTCTGAATACATGTGCTTAGGATTGCACCGTGCACACAAAATTGAGAGAAGTTTGGGGCATGGGATGGAAGGGCAGAGAGAAGTGAGATAGCATTGTTCTGGGAACATTCCTGCCATCACAGAGCCTTCAAAACCAGTACAGGTCAATGCACCTGATTTCTCAAGAGTCAACAGCTAGAAAGGTTTCAGTACTGTTAAAAGGAAATGCAAAATGGAGCCATTCTTCTGTATGAGAAATGTTCGGTGCCTAGTAGATTTTGTTATTCATTAGGCTTTTGCCCCTCCTTTCTGCCAACATTGACCTAAGACCAGTGCTTTCTTTCTGGGGGGACACAGGGGTACGCATACCTCTAAACATTTTGTGAATCTTTGTACTTTTGTCCATTTACTGTATTTATTTTTCCTGATTTGAACTATAAAATGGTGATTTTCTTGAGTTAAAATGAGAGTACCCCTACCCTCAACATTTTTTTTTAGAAAAAAAAGCACTGCCTAAGGCAGTTGCACAAAAAATGAAAACAGGTGTGTGTGTGTGTGTGTGTAATACAAAAAAGAAATACAGATAAAAGCACTATGACATTCCCAGAGTAAACAGAGTTGCCTATTAGTAAAACAGAAGAATTAAAAAACCTCTTCACCTAAACTCCTGGTGATTTTTTAAAATAAAAAAACACATTTATTTAAAAGTTATAATACAGCTTTGTCTGCTGCCATAATACAGTGGTACCTCGGGTTAAGTACTTAATTTGTTCCAGAGGTCCGTTCTTAACCTGAAACTGTTCTTAACCTGAAGCACCACTTTAGCTAATAGGGCCTCCCTCTGCCGCAGCGCCGCCGGAGCACGATTTCTGTTCTCATCCTGAAACAAAGTTCTTAACCCAAGGTACTATTTCTGAGTTAGTGGAGTCAGTAACCTGAAGCGTATGTAACCCGAGGTACCACTCTTCAATCCCACATCACTTTCATGTTGGCTCGTCGAAAACCTTCCATAGAAACCAGCTACCAATCTGGTTTACTAGACATTTTGACTTCTAAAAAGTCTTTGTTTCTTAAAACTATACACTCTGGGGGCTGAGCATATTTCCCCGGGGAAGGAGTTCAAGAGTCTTTTTGGTGGGAGGCATTAAGGAATCTTCCCCATCCCTGGTCACTCTAATCGGGGTGACATTTTGTCAAGTGCTTCCATTTCAGAGAAACATTCATTTTCTGGCAGTCCTGGCACCAAAGCAATTTGCTGGAAAAAGACTGCCCTTCCCACACATGTTGCATGCACAAGCGCTGAATGAAATGTGGTTGCAAAAGTGTCACAGCTGGTGCTCGTGAACAGCAGCACAAGTCTTCCCTACCGATGCCTCTGCAATTTTATGCACTTTTTCAAAGTCCAGTTTTGTTTTTATTATTTTTTATTTTGCTCTCAAGGCTTAGGCTCGCTGTGCCACCGCTGTGGAAAAGCACTAATCGAGCCCTTAAGATAACCCTTTCCCAAACGTAGCAACCAATCGCTAGCGGTTCCACTCTCTCTGTATAGAATTATCCCACTGCTTCATGAAAGTTCACCTCCTATCAAAAAGATGGATTCTGAAGTGAACTTTGATCAGGAAAGCGGTGCAGTTAGATTATTTTAGATTCTGGACTTATAGTCTTGCCTGTTTAGTTGGTGATTGTGTATTACTTCATTTACTTAAGAATTAGATAAGCCAGCCATGTTTTTATTCTCGTTTTTTTGCGCCAAAGTCCTGACTTGATAACACCAGCAGACCAGAATTTCTGGCTCTTTATACAGAATTTGTAAGTTCTTAAGCTGCACAGACACCAGACATTTAAAGCACACCGCCACCCAAAGAATCGTGGGAGCTGTAGTTTACTCCTGACAAAGCTACTATTCCCAGCAGCCCTAGCAAGTTACCGTTCCTAGGATTCTTAGGAGGGAGGTTGTGCTTTCATTGTGCCTGACATGTATGGTGTGCAAGCAGCCTTAGTCCAAGTTTAATTTGCACAATTTAAGCAGTTTTCAGACTTTGTTCTGGAGAACTCTGGGCTTCCTTAGAAATGTATTAGGGTTTCAATGGCAGCAAACTTCCTGAAAAGAAATGTTACATATTTTCCTCTGAAATGTGCAACCATTGGGGCAGTTTTTACAACAAAAGTGGTTGTTTTTTACTTGTGTGTCGAGACCCCGCAGCCACCCCCTTGTTGGAAATAACTCAGACAAGGTTTATGTTATTAGGCAAATTTTGGCCACAACTTTCTTGAATTACAGAATGTGAGCGGTATTGGCTTAGGCATTGATTGGACCTGACTATATCTGACTCCTGCCCATTGTGCAGGAAGTCCAGTAAGGGTAAGCCACCGGTAGGGGGA